TAACAATTTTTTTATGTTATCATTTTAATTATTTACGTTAAAAAAATATTTTTTTGCGCTTGTTCTTATATTTCATTATGTTTAAAATTATCATAACTCTTTTTTAGGATGATAGGATAATTCTAACCTATTTTACACCAAATGATATTAATTTTATAATTAATCTTACTTTTTTACATTATAATATTTTAACACGTTTTATGTTAAATTATACCAATTTTATAATTATTCTCAAAATTTTAGGCTAAATGCTCAATTAAGGATCCAACGTTTGCGTGATTTTCAATTAAGGATCTCAACTTTAATTTAGTTCAATATAGAATGCAATATTTTCAAATTTGTTCAATTAAGGTCTTTTGTTATGGCTGTGGCTTACACACATAAAAAAAAAAAAAAAACATGAATCACTGTTTTGCAATATAATAAATAGTAAAAATAGCCAAAATCTCTACCTTTTCCAACTTCTCTTCTTAGTAAACTCTAGCTTCTCAATGTTTTTTCTAACCGAAGAACAAACACCCCGAAATCAGCTTCTTTCTTCATCGATCTTGTCACTAATGACCACTGTCGATCTTCGTCCTTCACCAGTAGCATAGCTTCTTTGTGACTGAAACCAAAATTTCTAGTTCAACCCCTATTCTGTGTTTTTATCCTTTATGTTTCAATATTGTAACATATTTTATACCAAATGATTTTAATTTTTCAATTATTCTCACATTTTTACGTTAACACGTATATTTTGTTTAGAATTATTTTTTATTTATAATAATAATTTTTTTATGTTATCAACTTATATTTATGTTATAATAATCTTTTATGCTTATTCTTACCTTTTATTATGTTTATAATTATCACAAGTTTTTCTTAAAATATTATGACACTTCTAATATATTTTTTATCAAATAATACCGATTTTACGATTATTCTTACCTTTTTACATTAACATTTATTTTTTGATTGAATTATTTTTTTATTTATAATATTAATTTTGTTACATTACCGATTTATGACATTTCAATAATATATTTTTATGTTTGTTATTACTTTTCATTATATTTAGAATTATTATAATTTTTTTCTTAAGGTGTAATGATACTTCTAATTATCTTACATTAAATAATATCAATTTTACGATTATTTTTACTATTTTATATTAACTCTTAACTTCTTATTTAAAATTATTTTTTTATTTGTAACAATAGTTATTTTATATTGTCAACTTAATTATTTATGTTCTAATAATATCTTTTTATACTTATTGTTACCTTTCATTATATTTAGAAGTATTACAATTTTTTTCTTAAAGTTGTTACGACACTTCTAACCATTTTATACCAAATACTAGCAATTTTATGATTACTCCCACATTTTTTTATACTAACACTTATTTTTTTGGTTTAAAATTATCAATTATTTGTAATAATATTTCTTTTATGTTGCCAAAAATATTATTTATGTTATAACAATACTTTTTTTACATTTATTCTTGTTTTTTATTATGTTTAAATTTATCACAATATTTTGTTAGGATATTAAAACAATTCTAATCCAATTTATGTCAAGTGACACCAATTTCATAATTATTCCTACATTTTTACATTATAACACTTTTAACACGCTTTTATACTAAAGGATTCCAATTTTATAATTACTTTCATCTTTTTACATTAACACTTTTTGTGTTTAGAATTATTTTTATTTATAATAATAAATTATTTTATGTTGTCAACTTAATTATTTACATTATAATAATATCTTTTTAAGTTTATTATTACCTTTCATTACATTTAAGATTATCATAATTTTTTCTTAAAGGTGTTACAACACTTTTAATCATTTTACACCAAAAAAATATTAATTTTATGATTATTCTTATTTTTTTACATTAACATCTATTTTTTAGTATAAAATTATTTTTATTTATAATAATATTTTTTTACATTACTAGTTTAACTATTTACATTTTAATATTTTTTTTACACTTATTATTACTTTTCATTACGTTTAAAATTATCAAAATGTTTTATTAAGGTGTAATGATACGTGTAACCATTTTACGTTAAATAATATTAATTTTACAATTATTCTCACTTTTTTACATTAATTTTTTATTCTTTGTTTAAAATTATTTTTATTTGTAATAATATTTTTTTATATTACCATCTTAATTATTTTTGTTACAATAATATTTTTTTATACTTGTTATTACTTTTCATAATGTTTATTAACATCACAATTCTTTATTAAAGTATTACGACACTTCTAACTTATTTTATGTTAAATAACACCAATTTTATGATTATTTTCACCTTTTTACATTAATAGTTATTTATTAGTTTAGAATTATTATTTGGTTTTATGGTAATAATTCTTTTACGTTATAATAATATCTTTTTTACACTTGTTTTTATTTTTATTACATTTAAAATTATCACAACTCTCTCTTAAGATGTTACGATACTTCTAATACATTTTATGTCAAATAATATCAATTTTATGTTAATTCTCACCTTTTTAAGTTAATCAATTTTTAATTAAAATTTTTTAAATATTATATTATCTTGTCCTCTTTTTTAGGAATTTTAAGTAGATTGTATTTATATGATAAAATTTTTTATTTTATTTAATAAATAATATTTAATATAATTAATTAATTAAATTAACAAGTTAACAGGTAATTCACTATTTTTACAATTAAAAAAATCAATGATTTATGTTAATTCTTTATATTTAACTATTATTATTTAATAATTTTACAATAAGATAAAAAATTTAAACTTATTGTAGAAGTCTGTAGGTAAAATAAAAATAAAAAAATCTCAAAGGAGATGAAAGAAGATTCTAGATAAGCAAATGGAAAATGAAAAAGACGTAAAGGAAGAGAAAAAAATGGGATTTCCTGCTTGAAGGTAACTACATCTTCCTACTAGTGCTCGCTGAAATGGCATTTCATTGAGCATTAATTTGTCTCTTTTTTTTTTTTTATGTTGTTGTCTAATTAAAATTTCAATTTTTTTTGTTGATTGGAGTTTGAGATTAAAGATGAAGAACAAAGGTTGAAATTTCCACGACTTTTTTAGAGTTTTTTAAACCTCGCGATTTCTGTGAAATTCTTAATTCCTATAAGTTCATGCTGAAATGGTATTTTCTTTAAACATGTCTCTTTTTATTTTATTTTATTTTTTTATTGTTGGGTAAAGAAAATTACAATTTTTTAAAATTACTTAATTGATTTTTTTATTTTTTGGTTTATTGAAATTTGAAGATTAAAGAAGAAGAGCGCTTGTTGGAATACTTGGCATTCCAGCAAGTAGCAGTCAAGATATCTAAACTCATCTGCTACTAATTTTTTAATATTACCTTGCAAATATCATTGAAAATTATTTTACAGGCGTTTTATGTATGTATTCTCATAATCAGCAACAAAAGTCTACGTTGATTTAGACATTCCAGAAACTACCCAACTAAGAAATAAGTACTTTCCATACAATTTTATCTTCGTTCAACTTCTTATATAATCACTACAACAAATTTCATGGACTGATAACCAAAAAAATATGAATAGATACATGGATGAACCATTTAATGTCCGGCTAATCGAAGAAGAGGATCTTGACAGACAACAAGCACATATCTAGACACCAACCGAAACGGCGACAATAGCAGATATAGTTGCTCAAGACCCAACAAAGATAAAGGCATTGACAATCTTAGTAAACTATCAAAAAGTTACATAACAAAAGTGTTTTCTTAAAAATAGACAAGATTTCATCTTTTCTTTTCTCGTTCTCATTTGAATCCAACAAATCAAGTCGCGAGGTATAAAAATATTTTCGTATGATAGCATATTTTGCCCTGTTGCGTAGCGTGGGCTTTTTGCTAGTCATAATATTATTGTTAAGTTTTATTTTTAATTTTTATATATTATTAATAAATATTTTTAAAAAAATTCTAAATCCACCGATAAACCTCTCGTAGCACAAGAGAATCATAGACGACGGCATTCTTCCGGCCAAGTATTTTATCATTGACTTGACATCTACCTGCTCTGCCCTTAGATAGTGATAATTAATTTCTTTTCCCTTCTAGTTGTTTTTTGTATTTTGTTTGACCTGTTTCCTTCTAGAAGTCAGTATTGGCGGCTTTGTAATTTTTTCTTTAATGGATTACTTAATTACCAAAAAAGTATTTGACTTTTTATTTCAGAATATAAATTTCCACATCTTTTTGGTAAAAAAAAAAAAAAAAAAAAAAAAACCCTCCACATATGCATTTCAAAAATTTCCAGCATCAAACTAATTAAATTTCTGAATAACTAAGCAAAATTTCTCTTTTAATAAACATGTCAGATTTGAAATTTCCTCTTATATCATATAGATTTAATAAATTTAAGCATGATATAATGATATAATATAAATATAAAATAAAAATAAATAAAAAAATGATATAATTTAAAATTTTAATAAAAATTTTATATGAATTTAATAAAAATAAAAAATATATTTTATGTTTAACTTATCGCTATTGAATTATAATTAATACAATAAATTTCATATATTATACATTTTAAATATAAAATAACTTCACACGAATAAACAAATTATGAATGCCATTAATTCCATTATATAATTTAATTTCTTTTGCCTCCATAATCTAAACGATGTAGAACAACTGCAGACATCCATCCTAACCAAATACAGTTTTAATGTTCTTCTGTTTTTCAATTGCATGGCAAAATATGTTCGATAATTATATAGATCCCACGCATACATTTCTTAGGCAATTCAAATTCGTTCTTGCTCGGTTTCTATCCTTTCAATTTTTGTTGTCTAAACCCAACTTTCTCTATTTTATTCCATTAATTGTCTTTATCAAACTCCGTAGCACTTTGATGCAGGTAAGACAGTCAATAATCTACCATTGTTTCTCTCTTTCGGGGAAGCTGCTAACTAACTTCTTTTTGTTCTTTAAAAAAAGAATTCTCTATTTTTTCTATTACTATCATTCATCGAAAAGAAGAAAAAAAGGGCTTACTTTCATTATAAATTGCACCCATTTCCCCAAATGTGTCTCTATTCTCTTCACCCGAAACTTGCATAAGATGAGTTTCCAGCTGATTTTTTCCCCTCAATTTTACTCCATCTTCTTTATCTTAATTCTCCTCCCAACATCATACAGCAACGGCGTCGATGAAAGTTTAATGGACTGCTTTCATCCCTTTAGCTGTGGAGACCTGAAAAACCTTTCCTATCCCTTTTGGACCGACGATCATCCTCAACACTGTCACCTTGAAGGTTTCGAGCTGATCAAATGTGAGGATCCACAGCCACTCATTCTTATTAGTGGCCATGAATTCCGTGTCTTGCATATAAACCAATCCGTTTATAGGATGACTATTGTGCGAATCGATCTCTGGGAAGATACTTGTCCCAAGAATTTTGTCAACGTAACACTCGAGCACCCTTTCTTGCACTATTCTAAAACAAATCAAAACCTGACTGTGTTTTTCAATTGCATCCCCTGGATTGAGATGCCCTGTGAAAATATGGTTCAGAGACTTGTTGACCCTTTCTATGCAACTGATCCATTTGTTATTAGAGATAATTTTCAACACCTCAGAAAATGTGGTACCTCTGTTCAAGTTAATAAGACCAATTTTGACCGACTCCGGAATAGAAAACTCAATCTGCTCGAGGCTCTGAAACAAGGGTTTGACATGGAATATGATTTCTATGAAATTTTCTGCTCGAAATGCAAGGATTTGGGTGGCAAATGCTTTAAATCAAGTTCAGATCTTCTATGCAAGCATGGTATGGACAGTCTTTTATTTCCATTTCCTTGCTAGACTATGCATTAGGATAAAACTCAAGCTCACCCTATTGGTCCATACCATTTTTATCAATTTTTTTGTCTATTTGGTAGGTCAAAGACTAATCAAATTTTGGTAGGTCAGAGACTAGTCATTCCTTGTTCTTTCTTTTCGCTCCTCTGTCTCTTTTAACTTCCATGCATCGACTTTTTCTGTATCAAGTTAAAAAAAAGGTAAAAAGGAACATATTGATTTATATGACATTGAGTATTGCGTGTGTAGGTGGAGCTAACGATATTCAAGCCAACACAAATGGAAAACTACCCAACAATTTACTAGTTGTTTCCTTTGGTGAAATGTTGATGGACTTTGTACCAACCGTTGGAGGCGTTTCTCTGGCTGAAGCACCTGCTTTCAAGATGTCTCCTGGTGGTGCTCCTGCTAATGTGGCTGTTGGCATATCCAGATTAGGTGGTTCATCAGCTTTCATCGGCAAGGTGAATTTCTAACATTTAACCTTCGATATTCCATAATATCTTCATTTATTTTTGCTTTGAATTTCTATAGTTTGCCTCTTGGTATTTTCAGTTTAAGTAAAAGAATTCCTTTTTATCTGTTGAATTTCAACAAGACCTCGTCTCAAAGAGCATCAAATCTTACTAAAATATTAGTCAATTTCGGAAATTAATGAAAATTTTCCACCGTCTTTGAAACCAACTTTTGAACAGAGGTGTTATGAGGTTGCTGTTTGCAGTTTGGTCATATGAACAAAAAATCTATTCTTCCACCATAGGTTAAGAAAATTTTAACCCCAATACTTCATGATAAGAAAGATTACTTCACGCAGAGAAATATGATCCAGGCGATGCTTTCGCATAATTCACGAAGGGTAATGTCGCTCCCACTTCTGTTGCATATTGCAATATCTCAACGCCCTACTTTTATTCTTGTGGGGGAGGCTGGGCGAGACCAGTTGTCTTAATATAATAATTAGTGCTCGCATACATCTGCTTAGATGTAGTTCAACTTTGAAATTTTATACTATCAGGTTGGTGATGATGAATTTGGCCACATCTTAGCCGACATTCTGAGACAAAACAATGTTAACAGTTCTGGATTGCGATTTGACCATAGTGCAAGAACGGCATTATCATTTGTTACACTCAGATCTGATGGTGAACGGGAATTCTTGTTTTTCCGTCATCCAAGTGCTGATATGAATCTTCGCAAATCAGAACTCGATATAAACCTTATTAAGCAGGTTTTTCACTTTCTCTTCTTCGTGCCAACTAGGAAATGTTTGTGAAATATCTGTTCAGTCTGGGAAAGTTCACTCCTTGAAAATCATTTATTTCCAAATTCTTGCAGGCAGGGATATTTCATTTTGGTTCTATTAGTTTGATCGAGGAACCATGCAGGTCAGCTCACCTTGCTGCAATGAGCATTGCGAGAAAATCTGGCAGCATCCTATCCTATGATCCAAATTTAAGATTGCCATTATGGCCATCAGCAGAGGCGGCTCGAGAGGGTATAAAGAGCATTTGGGATCAAGCAGATGTTATTAAGGTATGATTTTGTGACTATTGAGATTCATGCATGAACTGACATGCTACAACAAAAATGTTAACAGTATAGCTCTGTTTATGTATTACCAAGAAAAGGAATTCAATTGTAGTGTGTTGTATGGCACTCATTCCTAATAATTTTATGAAATTTTAGATTAGCGAGGATGAACTTACATTCTTTATTGAAGATGATGACACTTATGATGATAATGTGGTGATGGAAAAGCTTTTTCGTCCTAATCTTAAGCTTCTGGTTGTAACTGAAGGATCAAAGGGTTGCAGATATTACACCAAGGTAAGATCTTCTACTCTAATTTTCTCTTAACTTGTTTCATGTCATCATTTTCTCTGAAAACAAAGTTTTTACTATCATAATTTGCTCCTTATGAACAGATTTTCTATCCTAAACCCAGCTTAAAAAATGAGTATCTTAATTGCTTCTGAACTGAAAGTTCTCTGTAGTATAAATATCTGAGTTCTATGTGGGAATTAAATGAAATGATGCTGTTTTCATAAACAAGCTGATATCCAGATACATCTTGTACAGACATTCAAAGGCAGGGTTCCAGGCATTAAAGTGAAAGCCGTGGACACAACTGGTGCTGGCGATGCATTTGTCAGTGGTATGCTGACCAGTTTAGCTTCTGACATAAAGCTAATTGAGGTACCTCTAGCTTTTATGTAAACTAGTAGTGGCAGTTGTAGTAAATAGATTATAGCATATAGACTCCAACTCCTTAGTTTCGTGTGGGAATTCATACATGAACTTATATCTGTGACAGGACGAAAAGCGGCTAAGAGAAGCTCTACTTTTCGCCAATGCTTGTGGAGCGCTGACAGTGACAAAAGGAGGTGCAATTCCTGCACTACCCACCAAAGAAGCCGTTCTCGAAGTCTTAAAAGGAGTTGCTGCTTCATGATTTAAGCGAACACTGATCCCAATTCGCATATTAAGCTCACTTGGTTTAGGTTCCAGTTGAAGTTGTAACATTTTCTCCTCACTTTTGTGAATGTTGTACTTTATTTTGCGAGTAGCAAAAACTATGAAGCAGAGACTAGAAGTGTAGAACTGTATTTTACCTGGTTAGGTTGATGAATAGTGAATACACTCTGCTTGCTCCACTTGTTGGATTTCTCATTTCCTTGTATTGCATAAAGCTTGTAAAATTCTGACCTTTCGGCATTCTGTTCTTTAGCCGCTTGAATTTCAATGTCTAAACTCAGCATCCAAGCCACATTCTGCTTCTCTAATGTTTCTCCCTGTTTCTCTAATGCGGGAATTTATGAAACGTTTTCTGAGCTAAGGAATAGCCCCTATCCTCTCCTTTTTTTTAGCTTTCCATTAGCATATGAAAAAAAAAAAAAAGCAAAGCCTTAGCACGTGCTCAGCATGTGCCACCCCCAAATCGATGGGCCAATTTTACTTGATTTTCCGCATTAACGGAGGATACGGGCTTCATTGAACCGAACCATTGAACCGGCACTCCGGCCTCGCCTTTCCTCTTCTTAACATACTTTTTTAAAATAGTATTTCGCTCACGATCGGAAACGAGGATAAAGAAAAACCCTCTTGTTTTTACCTCTTTCTGTCAATTGAAGAAAGCGATAAAAACAAAAGGGAGCAATGGAATGCTTCCAGAAATGAAACAAACTAACTTGTAAAATCAGATCAGATAAATCAGAAAACTGTTTTCCATTTTTATTTCTAGTTCGATTTCAAATCCAAACTAAAGGAAAAGAAGAAAATGGCCTCGAATCCTGCCCTGATGCCCGAGATCGGACCCGATGGACTCGCTAGGGAAGCTCCTGTCATCGCCTACACTGAGAAGGTCAATTCTTTCTCTTCTCTTCTCTCTCTTGTGCTTCGTGTAATACTCTGGTGAAAATTTGATTTTTTTTTTTTTGGCTGTGGCGGCAGATAATCGAGGAAGAGCGGCTTCAACTCAAGAAGTATGGTCATATTGTCACTTCTAACTTTCTATTTTTAGATATGTGCATTGTTTCATCATTTGTTTTTCACTTGCCTGAGTTAAATTGTAGTAAACCTGGCCTATATGGATGATTCTTTTCAGTGCTGGATTTAAATTCAATGATAGCAAGGAAAGTGTTCTTCTAACCCTGCACGTGTTTATGTAGAAAAAGATGAGAGAAATAGACGTATCTAAGTTTTCTTTGAATTGTTAGCCTTGGAGAATTAGTTTTAAAGCCTTAAACTGTAATTCAGATCTGGAGAGATAGTCGGTGACTAGTGACAGTGCATAAGATTTTCATGAGAGTTTGATACTTCTTAAAAGGAGGATTGAATCCTAAATCTCAATTGATTCGATGTTTATTTCTTTAATTAAGTTCTTGTAATTCAAATCTGAAACCAATTCAATTTGTGCTTGGTTATGAACTCCAGCTTTTTTTCTCTTTAAATGCTATGAGTTGTTTTTACTAAATAATATTTTAAAACTTCATTTTGACAATCTTTGTTTACTCACTCAATGATCAAGCATAAGAAGTTTTTTTCCTTACAATTCAGTTATTAAAATATTAAAATTTTGTTTGCATTTAAGAATTTAATTTTCCAGTGTGTACCATTTACTTGTAAAAAGGTTGAAAGAGGACTATGCCTTATGAAGTTATTATTTCTCTTTTTATTAATGTTCTTTGAGTTTGTTTCTCGTGATTTCATTTGTTGGAGGATTTTATGTGATCTCCTTTGATGCACACTTTCAGATACATAGAAGAAAATTATTCTAAAATTCGTGATGTTGAAAGAGAACTAGCAAATCTTACTATGGAGATGAAACTCACTGCTGGACCTAAAAAAGCAGGTTGGTCTGTTGTTGCCATTGTATGAAATATTTCTTAATTTATGTGTATTTTTCTATAGTGTAGTACATAATTTGTGGTATGTTCCTTCAGCCCTCGAACATATGAGAAAGAAAATTGAAATGTCAACTGAGAGAATACACATTGCCAAGCAGAAGGAAGAACAAGCCCGAAAGGTTTGTTACATTCTCTATCTCTCAAGTATAATTGAACTTGTATCATGGCCCTATGTCTTATCTTTTCTTAGTCAAAGTAGAGTTCCTCATTAATTTTTGACACTTCTTCCTGCTGTGGAGGGACAAGAATACTAGGTTAGTTAGGGACCTGACAGGACAAATGATAAAATTTTAACATGAAAAAAATTTCCAATTCAATTGTTCGGATTGTAGCATACCCATGTAAACCCATTTTATCTGAAATGAGTGAATTTGCAGCTGTAAGTTAGTATTCCTGCATGGAATTGTACATTGATATGGATTCTGGAGTTTGTTTATACTTTATACACTGATGGGCATGGTTGTATTTGAATTAATTAAGGCCTAAACCTACTTTTTGGACTCAAGAGAGGCTAATGAATAAATTTTCAGTTTTTATTGGCGAGTATATTACCTCCTATCTTCAATTTGATAGCAGCATTTTTTATGTGTTTCAGAATTGGGAAGCAGCATTAAAGGCTCTGAATGATGAGGAAGCAATTAAGCAGAAGTTATGTGAGGACTTAAGCAATCTGGTATACTTCTTTGCTATAGGTGGATAAGTGGGCTTTAATGCACTGTGTAACAAGTTAATGCTTTTCTGTTGATAGGTTCAAGAAAGCAGTAACTCTCAGTTTGCTCGACTTGAGGAGTTGAAAAGGCGAATGGAAGCTCTGAACCCAAGTAGAGCATCCACTTTGTCTCATAATGTAAGCTTTCTTTCTGTTTCTCCATATTATATTACAAGTTCTTCATGTTATATCCAATACTTATAAGGTTCTCTATGAGGAGAAGATAACTGATTTACAACAGTCATCAGAATAGGCATGTCACCAAATGAAAAATGGTTCTCTTTTATTATGAGTTTCTATTGCTACTCATTTTTGCATTCACTGTGATCATATTAAAATGGAAAAGATATTCATGTCTGTGCATGAACTCAACAGAACCTCTTCTGACCACCTAGTATAGGCCTTGTTGATTCTTTGTTAATTTTTGGCTCCTCTAGGCAGTTGCTCTGTTAATCAATCCAAACTGGGCCCTTACCCCTAATAAAAAGGATAAGGGGAAAAAATATGAAGTGAGATAGGAAGTTTTAATTTACTGATCTTTCCGAGATTATGTTTGTTCTAATATAATAAACTACTCTAGATGTATGGAAATTGGTTTCAAGAATGCCCATATCAATTCCCTGATCTGCTCATGGTGAGTCAGGATCGTTTTGGAAATGGCTATCCTGCTTCACTAAAGGGCTCCATTCTTTGGCAAAATTTTTTGTATTTCTTTTATATTTTCAGGCCTGTGGATTACTATAAGCACTGGTATATGTGTGTAAATCATAGAAAGATTGTTGAAAGTTTGCCCTTGGATCATGTTTAGGATATGAAAGCAATTGGATTCGCACATGGTGCTGCCACTGTAGATGCTTCCTCAGTTCCTCAAATAACAGAATCAGGCTCTGCTGTTTCTGAAAATGTACCTAATCTAGGTAATGGCGGAAATGTTCCAGCTATTAATGGGCAGAATCAGCTGCCCACAAATGATGGAGAAGTAAAAGGAAAGAAGAAAAGCCATTTTCCAGGAAGAGGAAAGGGGATTGGTGCCGTGCCCAAGGGTAGAGGATCTGCAGCACCTGGGTGGACAGGAGCAGGGTTTGATGTGGACGCTAGAACTTAGAAGCATCATTTCAGACCTTATCTATTCTTTGCTGAAGTATCAGGGCAAACCTATCAGTGATTGCTCATGTTTATGGGGTATCACCAGTCCCCCCCCCCCCCCCCCCATTTTCTTTTTCTTTACCCTTGTATTCTTTCAATTGCATATAGCTTGTTGATATGAATGATGCCATTTGGCTTTTCTTTCTTATTCATTTCCTGGACTGACATCATTATAGTTGTCTTCAAGCAGAAAATCATTTAGAAACTATCTATTTAAAACATTAATTTAAAAAAAGAAGGAAAACTCTCTCTCTGGCATCAAAAGCTGAAACCTGAATTTTTGTGGGAAGGTTTCTCTCTAAACGAATGTATTAACATGTTATCTGCTGAAACCTCTTTTGCTGAATCTGGTCCGAACTCTCTATAATGAGATGATACAACTGTTGTTGTGATTTTAAACTCCTGGTTTTTGTGAAGAATTAATTGGGACTAATCAGGGTGAGCAGAGATTCTTATACTCTTTGCTAATGAGAATACAGGAAAGAAGAGGACAATTAGTGTGTGCAATTTTCGGATTAATTATTGTTTCAAGGCACTTCGATATTTAATTCTTAATCTTCGTTAACATCATATGATCTAAAAATGTGACACTTGCATATGTAACGTGCTAATGCTCCCTTTGGCCTTTCCTTGTTCTTAACCAAATAAGTTCAACACCATGCTCTCAACATTCTTATAATTCATTTATTATGTATATGAGTACTTCTATTTGCATTCCAACTTTTTTATAATACACCCCAAAAATTATATTATAAATTCCAGAAACCTTTAAAATTTTCTAGAAGTTTGTTTTCAAAAATTTCAAATTGCACCTAAATATTTTAATATAAAATCTTACGAAATTAAATTCGAAATCAAATAAAAAATAGAAAAAATAAGCGATTTATCTTTGATCTTATACTTTTTAACTTTAAATGGGTGAAATTTCCTTGAATTTGGCTTGATTGAACTTAATATCCTTTAGGATTTTCGGTTGGAAAGAGAGAGAAAGGAGATGAAGCATGAGAGAAAGGGAGATGGGGTGTTTTAGGTTTCTTTATAAATTTATGTTTTGAATGAGAGGTGTATTGAATAAAAAATTAAGTGTTAAAAATAAATAAGTATGTTGAGTAATTATTGAAATGCAAATAGCAACACTCATTATGTATTTAGGCGTCATGTAGTTTGATGTCACGATTGAGTTGTGAATTGATTAGGGTTTTAGAGAATAAGGCATCATGTAGTTGGATATCGGTTTTAGAGAATAAGGCATCATGTAGTTGGATATCACAACTCAATTTTGACTTGGTTAGGGTTTTAAAAAATAGGGAGACTATGAAGAGAACAGAGGAAAATTGAGAGGATAAAATATCTTTTCTATTTGTGAAAATTAGTTACATCCAAGGAATTATTTAAATACAATTATCGTGCAACTGTAGTGAAAAAAATACAAAATTCAAGCGTGTTCCTAGTCAATAGATTAATAACTAACCATTAGTATTCCTAGCCAATAGATTAATAACTGACATCACTATCTTCCTTCTTATATTCACCAATTCTGTTATTAGTTTTCAACTTATCTCTCGATTTTTGTTCATTCTTTGTCATAGTCTCTGTTATAATCTTGCTTATGTAGTACTTGTTCTTTTTTCATTAAAGGCATCACAATACCTTCCCCTTCACCAAATCCTTGTCCTTAAGGATGAAAATCTAAAAACTGTGACTTTTATACTGTATAGTCTTCCAAGTTGCATTATCATACCCTAAATTGGACTATACCATTACAGTTAGTGATAGCCTTATTTTGCTTTTTAACTATTCGTTTATCAATCACAGCATCAAGATATATAAGCGATTGCCCATCCCTATTAGTTTTTGGTAGAGCCACACTAGAACTACCTTATTGCCTAACCTATTTTTTTTTAACAAGCTGACATGAAACACTAGATAAATTTTAGAAGTACGAGGTAACTAAAATTTATAAACAACTGAACCAATATTGGCTAATATAGGATACAAATCAGATTAAAGTGTTAAACTATTTTAAAGGGCCAAAGAGGTTTGTTTATAGGGTTAGAATTTTAAATACACTTTATCTCCGTCTAGAACTCTTTTTCATTCCTTTTCCAGTCAACATACAATTTCACCCTCTATTGAGCTTTATTCAATTGATCAACCATCAACTTATTAACTTGTTCTCTATCTTTTAATAACCCTTCCACATTCACCACTCTAGTCTGCTTACATCTGGTTTATAACTTTACAAAACCTAAAATATAGACATTCTAACTTGTTCTCTATCTTTTAATAACCCTTCCACATTCACCACTCTTGCTTGCTTACATCTGGTTTATAACTTTACAAAACCTAAAATATAGACATTCTAACTTGTTCTCTATCTTTTAATAACCCTTCCACATTCACCACTCTTGCTTGCTTACATCTGGTTTATAACTTTACAAAACCTAAAATATAGACATTCCTAAATAAGTATGATAACTTGTATTATACCACCATTTGACTAACGATAGCCATTAAATTCAACTATTAGGCTTGAGAAAACACATACGCTATAAATACTACTCCAAACATTGATTAACTTTCTTAGTTTGCCTATCAGATTCTGTATAATAAGTTATACTTAGATGAATTGTGGTTTCTAATAATTTCATCAACTCCTACCAAAATAAACTAGTGAAGGTTGGATCCTTGTTAGAAATAGCAATTTTTGGTGTCCCATGTAGTTTATGAACTTAGTGTAAACATATTTTAGCTATTTCCATAATTGTAAAATGATGAGACAAAGGAAGAAAGTGACAATTCTTAGTGAATTTATCCATTATCATCATAATACAGCTAAATTTTTAGATTAGGATAACCCTTCAATAAAATCTATAATGATTACAGCTCAAGCTTGTTGTGATTAGTTGTAAAAGACCAGAATAAGGAACATGCTCATCTTTATCACACTGTTGAATTTATTTACAGACTTGTTTCTTCATCTTAGGCTAATAAAAATTCAACTTAAGTCTATGGTAGGTGGCTTAAATTCTTGAATGCCCCTTGAGATGAATCATGCAAGGCTTGTTAAATTTTTTCTTTTAACTGCCTACTATTACCTATATACACTTTCCCTTTAAATCTTAAAACTTCATTGTTAAATAAATAGTAAAAATTATCAAGATGATGGATGACAAAAGCCTTAATTTACTCTTGTGCTACTATATCACCATTATAGCTATACTCGATCTCTTTCACCCACTTGAGTATGAATGTAGTTGATTGTAAGCTATCACTTTATGCTTCCTCCTCATGTTACTTGGATAAGGCATCTGCTGTTATATTCGCTTTGCCCTTTTTATATTATATAGAGTAATCTAGCCCAAGTAATTTGGTTAGTCTTTTTTTTTGAATAGTGGTGATCAACTTTTGCTTAAGCACAATTAGTGTTTCCATATCATCATACTCCCTACTAATCATGTATATTTCACCCAGCATCTCAAGATCCTTGTAAGCTAACTTTGGCAATTTATCTCTAGAAATAAACTTCAAGCTAACTTTATTGGGATCACCTTTTAATGTAATTTTTTATCCTTTTTTTTTTAAATTCACTGACATGTCATTGAAACCAAATACAAAAGGACTATATTTTTTTATCCAATTAACTCCAAGCACAATGTCACTTGTATTATCCATTCAAGTTGCTTCCATTTGGTTATACTATACAACTTCTCACCATTAGCCATAATTATATCCAAAGGTTAGTACACGTCAACTCCACCTCATCCTTGGGCAATATAGGAGTCACGAAACTATGAGTACTCTCGCTATCTATAAATATAGTCAAAGGTTTTCCCTTGACATTCCTTTTGATCCTTAGCATGTTATACCTAGTGCTGCCTATTAAAGCATTGATAGAGATTTTCAAATTATCATTCCCTTGGTTTACTTCATTGTGGATATCTTAACCATTGTCAACTAATTCCTCATCATCTTTCTTTTCTTCTAAAAATTCCTCTACCATGATGGAGTTCAACTACTTATTCTTACAAATGTGGCCAGGAAAAAAATTTTCACCATATTTAAAACACAGATTTTGTAATCTTCTCTACTCCATAAGAGTTTGCTTCTGTGTAGTTGATGCTATATTGAAGAAGACTTCTTTTGGTTGGGAGCAGGGTTATAGGAGTTTTTTAAAGGAATATAGGTGCTATTAGTTAAGCTGGGTTTAATAAATGGTCTATTTCTTTTGTATTCAACTTCCAAGGCTAGTTAGTGTAACTTAACTTGCCTATAGGCTATTGCCAAAGTTAGAAGCTCCCTATCCTTAACTCTTGGCTTAGGATCTTTCTTTAGGCGACTTCTAAAATTGGATGCAAAATATAACTTGTCCAAATTGGGGTTATTCTGAAGCATCAATGGCATGAGCTTTTCAAATTTCTTTTAATATTCTTCCACTATGGTCTTTTGAGTCAGTTTGTTGAATTTCTTAATCACATCCAAACAGGTCATGTCATAAAATCTCTAGCAGAGATCATTAGAAAATTTTTGCCATGTAAATCTAGGTTTTTTCATCAAGTATCCATCAAATTAGAGTTTTGCCCTACCAGTTGAATATATAATAGCTATTTCCATGTTCTAATGGCTTGACATTCCAAAAATGGTGAAATACTTCTAAATCTTTCTTAGCCATCCTCTAAGATTCTCACTTCGAATAATAGAAGTTTGAATTTTGGCCATGGGGTAAAAACATTTGAGCCTAAAAGGTACTTAGTTCCAAGTGAAGTTTAAATATGTTTGTTTGCCATCATGCTATTATGTATATGACCAAGATTATTGTCCTGCTGAAGTTTTTATAGTAACCTTGGATCATTAGGCTTATAGTTAAACTTATTATGTTTTCTTAATAGGATTTTTACCTCCCTTCTGGTTTACACCAGCAAAGCCAAATGAGAACTATCGACATGTTCTTTTCTTTTGGATTTGACTAGGATGGAGATTCCCTTTTTGTAGCAAGGATTCCAATATCTTGGTCAAGCTGTTATGATTCTCAACCATCTTGATTTCCAACTCTTTTTTTTTTTCATCTTCCCATAGCTTTGACATAGAAGTCTGTATTACCTTCATGTCCTCCAATTACGTTAAAATGTTTTGGACTTATTCATCTAAGGTATTCAATTAAGTCCTTTCAACCATGAATAGTGATTTCTTACTTTTTTCCAGCATTGATATTAGATCACAATGAGCTCATACCAATTTATCACGACTAAGTTGTGACTTAGTTAGGGTTTTAGAGAATAGAGAGATAATGAAAAGAATTGAAAGGAAAAAATGTCTTTTCTATTCATCAAAGTCAGTTACAACCAAAGAATTATTTAAATATAACTATCATGCAACTGTATGCAAAAGTATAAAATATACAAAATTCCAAAATATTCCAAGGTAATATATTAATAACTGACATCACTATTAATATTTTTAATCAATAAATTAATAATTGACATCAACATCTTCCTTTTCATATTCACCCATTTTGTTGTCCGCTTTCAATTCATCTCCGAATGATTCTTGCTCATTTTTTGTCATAATCTCTATCATAATCTTACTCATACAGCACTTGTTCTTTTCCATCAAGGTCATCACATTCGAACTCACTCAGCTCTTTCTGAAGTAATCGTCGATAAAATCTGCTTGGAAATGTAAGTTAAGCCCGTGGTTGTTAGAGGTTGTAAGATTATTTGTTGATCTATAGGAGGCATGACTTAGTCCTACCGGTTCATATTCACTGTACTGCATCATTGTGTCGCGGCTACTTTAGATTATTGCAATTATGTATGTTTGTACCACGTCAGACTTGAGTGACACATTCATCTTTTTCATTTTGTCATGATATACGAGTCTGCATCTTATTTCTCTTTCTATTTGTGGCAGTTTTACACGACTGGGAATTGTGGAACACCTACCGTTTAAAATTCAAATTTTGAGTGCTCTTAGTGCTCTTAGTGCATGTAATCATGTTGTTGACCGAGTGAATGTATAAAGGTGTGCTAATGATGATAACACTAAACATGTTGGAATGCCTGCACTTCATCCACAATTTAGGAAATTTTCACCGGAAAAATATCTTTAAATATTGCTGGTGGTCTTTTATGAGAATTTGATTTCTTTTCAACGCATTAGGTTTGAATTCTGTGGCCTGGAAGAGTAAATGCACTTGCCTGTTTCTTCACTGTAACTTCTGGAAGATTATTTTAACTTTGGATGGCAAGGTATTGCGAAAATTAACTGACATGTTGGATAGCTTTATATGCTGGCCAGGGAGTGTTCCTCCCCAGGCGGCCATGCCAGGCGACGTGCTGCTCTGAATTGTACACTTAAACAGTTTGTTGAATGCATTGAACAGAAATTTCACTAAAGGAAAAAAACGTGTTCAAATGTTAATAATAATAATAATAATAGGTTGAATTCAGGAGAATTCTGATTTGCTAATCAATTCTTCACCTAATAGACCTTGTGGGATCAGATCAGACTTCTGAGCCATATTAGTAAGGTCATTGAATGCATTTATGTAACGAAATGGGTTTAAACTTGGGTTGTTGGAAAGACTAGCATCAGACTGACCACAAGACGAGCCCCTGTTTGAGTGCCGCTGCTGTCACTATAAGAAGTCTGCTTGAAAGAGGGTAGGTTAGGGTTGCCAGCCTCTATTTACTTGCCATTATTCATTAAAAGACATGAGATGAAGAGTGGGATGACGATGCTGCAGAACTGCAGAAATGTATTGTGATTTTTAGTCAAGTGGTGGGTCAAACCAAGCCTCTGGACTATCATCTTTGCTATTTATTACCATTAATTACCTTTTGGCAGCGTCTTCCCTGCGACCATGAAGAATTTGCTAGACTTTCACGAGAAGCGGCACTGTGTAACTGTAACAGTGCTTTGGTTTTCTTTCTTTTCCCAATAGAAAAAAGGTAGGATGAAAAGAGTAAGACGATAAAATCTGTTATCCCTGTTGCCTGTTTTTGATCTTTCTGACAACGTATAAATTGCTATCTTTCTCTTGCACTTTCTATGATTCAATTTCGGTTTTTTTTTTTTTATCATCTTTCCACGGTTGTGTGGGGTAAAATCATGTAAGAAAGAAAAGAAGAAAAGCGGTGAAAGGAATGTAAAAAATAACCTTAATAAACTCTTCCTGAGACCCATCAAGAATGCAGGAAAGGGAACTCACAATCTCACATCTTGGCACGGAAGGGATTGCAAGCAACTCGTAATTTGCAAGGTCTTCGATTAAACCCTTAAAATTGGGACCATCTCCACCTCCCCCTGAGCAAATATTCAAAAATAACTCTCCCTCTCCCTCTCCCTCTCCCTCTCCCTTCTCAAAGGTCAGACTTGAAATTGACGTTGGCTAGGACATGAATAGGACATGAATAAAAAGCAATTGATATCATCCAAATTTAAAAAATAAAAAATAAAAAATAAAAACCAGCGGTGGTCCGTGAGACGAGCCCTGCGCTGTGGATGTCATGCATACAGTCCTAGTCTCTTCTCCTAAGGAGGCTCTGACGTGCATGGAGACTAACAAGCCTCAATCTTAGTCCAGATCTACTGGGATTTTATTATCGGTTATAAGGAGGCTACTCCTGACACAGTTAATTAATTTGTCCTAATGCACACCCTTTCGTCACATGATGCACATCACGCCATTGATTGGGGTTTGCGGTCCCCTTCAATAGCGAAAGATATATCAATGTTGTTTGATTGAATAATCAACTCTCATTTTCTTTTTCCTTGGAATTAACACTTCATATTGAAACGACTGTATGACTGTAACGTCCTCTAATTGTAATTATTTTGCAAGTTGAATATTTTATCAAAGAAAAGAGTTTGGTTTCCTAAATATAAAAGTTATTTCTTTCAGATTATGCCAACACCTCTATTTTAAAGGACTTTTCTTTTAATAAAACTCTTTTTTTAAAATTACAAATGGAACTTGCTTACAACTATTCTCAAAGTAAATCAAATTCTTCTAAACCATGAGTGATTGAAAAGAATAGATAGGCGTAATGGTCCATCCGAGTTCACCCATTTGTTGCCAGCTAAACTGGACTAAACTGATATATTTGATTGTTTTCCGATTTCCAAATGAATCCCCTTGTAGTACTGTAAGAAAATTATAACCAAATTGGTTGAAATTTGAATGTGTTTTTTCAAGGACATAAGTTAAAGGACAAAAAAAGAACAAATTAGAAAAAGAAGGGAAATTTAAAAGGAAGAATGAGGTTAAAAAGGCAAAACCCAAAGCATTGAATTTTAAAGTAAATTGCATTGTAAAGTTCAACTTTCAGTGCAATCATCATACTATAGAAACCAATATCAACCAAACCCAACGATAATTCAAGTTCCATGGTCTTTTTGTTTTGTTACTAGTAAACTACTTACCAAATTCCAGGGTGATTCGTAACAGGGTAGCATTATCAAGTCTGATCCAGGGTAAAAATAAGAGGATAAATGAAAGGATAAAACGTCATAGCCTGGGTCATAGGCTCACATTGCAGATCCCCAATAAAACCACCTCGTATTTAAAAGCCAAGTGCCAAGGGGTGTGGGAATCACATTGTAAATCGAGCTTTGAGAGTGAGATCGTTTATGTGTCTGCATTTCAGATAAAGAGATAGAATGGAGCGTGTTCGAATCGTCATCACTTTGCAAGTTTTTATACTACTAGATTAGCATTTTACCAATTCCAATTCCAATTCCGAATAAGAGAGAGAGAAAGTTGGTTTTATGGTCTCCGGTAAAACTTGGGAGTGAGTGTAAGACGGTAAGATAAAAAGAAGGTATTGTAGTGAAGAGAAATAAGCTAAGGGGGAGAGAGAAATAAATGAATAAATACTCCGATATTCTATAGGCTACATCCACAAACCAAACTTTTTGTTTTACTTAATTCCTCAAATCAAAATGTGGCTGATTTATGCTTCATGGATCCGCTTTTCTCGCTTCTTCACCAGCGCCCTATAACCTTTTCAGCTTTTCATCCTCAACTAACACACTCTTACTCTCGCTGTCTCGCACTTTCTCCAGTCTTCCACCTTCCAATCGATATCTTATCTCTAACTACTGCTGGCTACTTCTGTCATTGTCACTCTGATCTACCATCTTATCTTTTCTTTTTTTTTTCCTTGAAAAGCAGGAGAGAAGGAGATGGGCAGGGAATGGCACTGGGGTGGTGGGGCTAAACCTTCCTCAACCTCCAACAGCTCCAAGAGAGCATCAGAGAGAGACTCTGGTCAAACCACTCCGTCAGGTTGCATCAGTGCTGTCTTTCACTTGTTTGATTTCCATCATTTGCCATTCCCTTTAAACCACCAAACTACTAGTAGTAGCACTTGCAGTTGTTTCAAGCCTGACTCTTTTGTATCTCCAGACACCACCACCACCATTAAAGGTTCCTCTTTAATTCACTCTCTCTTCGTTTCCTTCCTTCTTCTAATTTTGAAATTCTGAGGAGAGTAACGGGTTCCAATGCAATGCAGGTGCAAGGAACAGTTTGGAATCAGAAGAGGAAGATTCAACTTCAGCTTCATTGACATCAACCAGTAAAGAAGAAGAAATTTTAAATATCCCAGTAAGTTCATTTTTATCTTCTTGGGTTCCTAGCCTTGTTTATTTTCATTTTCAAAGATTCGCATTTTTTTGAAAAGTGAGTAATGATAATGATAATGATATATTTTTTTTGTTTATGAAAATTCAGATGGGAATTCAAATCAAAACAAGTGGAGACAAAAGGTCAAAAGTTGGAGCCCCGAATAATGACACTTCTTCAGACATTAGCGGCTCCCCTGGGACCAAGACTCCTACTTTGGTAGCTAGGCTCATGGGTCTTGATCTTCTCCCTGAAAGTTGCTCACCATCATTTTCATCCGCACCAAATTTTCAAGCTAAGTCACGTTTAAGTCACCACATTCAACCCCCAAAGCCTGGCCAAAGCAAAACAACTGGTCACAGAAATTCATTGGATGGTGATATCAGGGGCACTTGCTCATTGCCAGAAACTCCAAGAATATCGTCTGCAAGGAGGTCAGACGTGGATCATCACTACCGCCTTTCGCTTCAAATCAACAAAGATAACATGAGCACTAGTGAAGAGTTGGTGATGTCTAGTCTCTCATCATTGAAAAGGAAAGAGCTAAAACATGAAGATGAGAACAGAAGCCCTGGTCACTACGCTAGGCAGATAGTGAAGCAGATTAAAGAAAGTGTTAGCGGGAAAGTTGGTATGGATATAACCAACACAGTTCGAAACAGAGAGCAAGCCAGAGAAGAGCTTGTTAGCCAATTCAAATACAAGAAAATTTCCAGGGCTTTAATCAAAGTTGCTGATGATTCAAGCCCTGGCAAGCACTCAACATCTTCCTGTTCACCAAAGCTTAGATTCTTGGAATTCAAAAGCAAACCACTCGTAAATTTATCCACTAAAGATCATTATTTTCAACCTCCAAAATCATCATTTTCATCATCTCTTGAGATCAAAATCCAGCCTCAGCCCATCAGAGTTTTATCAAAGCCCAAGTTGCAGCCTGTTGAAGAGGAACAAGATGAGCAGCACAAGCAGCAGAAGCCGCCAAGAGTCGCAAGCGAATGCAAGAAAGCGTCCAGTGAAAAGTTCGGTTCACGACTGAAAAAACCTAAACAAACATCGGGCATTATCCGGAACAAGCAAGAAGAGCCTTTCGTTCGTCCTTCCACAGCCAACAGAGTTAATTTTCCTGACAAGAAATGCAGGAAAACCCCATTGTCAAATGATCTCCTCAACATCACGGTCCCTACCCTTCTTCCAGTCAAAAAAGACCCTTCTCCTCCAGCCACAAAAATCCCTCAAAAACAGGTATTCATATTACAAAGACATTATTTGCATACATTCACGCACACCTCATGCATATCTTAAACATGACAAGGAGCAAACGTGTCTATTCTCCTCCAAGCCATGTCTCGGGTGAACATCATAGATGTACAATTCTTTTAGGAAAAAAAAAATGTATTATATAACTTTACCATACTACAGGGAAAATTTACTATTCATCTTAGAAAAAATGTGCAGTTCTTGTTATCGGCTTGTTGTTTGGATTTGTTACAGGTCTTAGATGCTCAAAGACCGAAACGTAGCTCACAGTTTTTTAGTTGTTCGAGCCAAACGTACAACAAACAAGAAGCGGAGCACGCACACGTTTCCCGAGACAACAACTACGGCGACAGATGTAACGATGCTACTACAACCACCAACACCACCACCGGTGATCAAGCAGAATATGAGTACATCGCAAGAATACTAAGACGTACTGGCATGGAAAAAGATACCCCTGTGTCCTTCTCGTCCTGGTTCTCTCCTTCCAATCCTCTTGACCCTTCCATTTTTTACCATCTCGAACATTTCACCACTTGTTCCACTGCCATCCTCTCTAATACTAATACTAATTATAATAATAATAAAACCAAGTCTAGTCAATTGAGCCAGCGATGCAATAGAAAATTACTGTTTCATCTGGTCGATGAAATTTTGATGGGAATTTTGAAGCCTTATTTTAATATGAAGCCTTGGGTTATTACGTTCGGACATGATTTTAGTCACATGGATGGCTCTCAACTAATAGACACATTATGCTCGAAAATTAGAAGCTTTCCTCGAGTTGATTGTCGTGTTCTTGAAGACATTGACGCCTTAATTGACAGAGATTTGCCAGAAATTAAGTTCCAGAGTGTAATGGCGTACGAGGAAGAAGGGGAAGGGATTGTGGCGGAGATTGAGAAGGACTTATTAGAGGCGCTGGTACATGAAACGGCTTTGGATTTTGGTGTACGAGTTGAACTGTCAAAAGGTTGAAAGGACTGGCTCTAATGAAGATAATACGGCATCGTTTTAATGGAAAGTGAGAGTACAGCCGTACAGGGGCGTCACATGAGTATTCGCTGGGGGTCCTGGTTGGAAGATACAGGTGGAAAGATGGCTGTTGGGGGCCCGACAATATTCGCTTTCTCATTGGTTCTTAAAGACAGAGGTGGCAGAGGAATCCATTCCTCATTTCCCTTTTTTTTTTTTATTTTTTTATTTTGTATATAAATTGCTATAATGTATCAGCCTTTCAAATTTTTTTTTGTTTGAAAATGATAAGAATATTCCTTTTGGTCTTTTAAAAGAAGTTACAAAATTTTTGGTTCTTCCAAGTTGGAGTCCTGTTTGATGAAATATACTAATAAGCCTACTTTTATGTATACTTCATCCCTCTCATAATTAGTAATTGAGTTTAATTTTTTTCAATCAAAATTTTTTAAATTTTACTATTTTTTATATAAATTATTATTAATGAAAATTTGAAAAGTATTCTTTCAAAACTTTGAGAAAAGTTGTTCAAGTACATATTTATTAAAATTTAATGTAATCAAATAAGTATTTAAATTGAAGTCAAATTGAAATTTTTTACTACAAAAAAAAAAAAAAAAACAGTATTTACAACACCAAAAGAGCTTTTTTTCTTTTTTTGAAGGGATATACCAAAAGACTGTCTGATCATTTATGTTTCGTAATCTTCAGTTGTATCTAATTAATGAAGCAATTAGCATTATGATAACTATAAAAGCTTAAACTAACCTTTTTTTTTTTATTTAAGATGATTAGGTTTGGATCTAAACTAAAAATTTAACACTTTATTAACAGCTTCTATTTACTTACAGTCAATGCTTTTTGTTATTTTCCATCCTACCAAATGCACAACTAAAATTCAAGAATGATTGAGTCATAATCAAACATGTTACATGTTGTATATATATTTTATATCTGAATAGGCCATTGAGTTAACATGGTAATTAGCTTAAGAATTAGAAAAAAAAAACTGTTAAATGCATGGATAAACTGAATAATATATTAGTGGCGTTTAGCTTGCATGCAACACTTTTTTTTTTCCTTTTGGTTCATTTCATTTATAGGAAAAAAGAAAAAAAAAAATAGCCATCAAGTAATGGTCAAAGGAAGGAAAGATAGCAAATTATTTGCTTTTAGATTAAACAGTAGTAAAATATGTAGATGGGCATAGCTTAAATAAATTTTGTTAAATGAAATTCGTGAAAATTTTAATTAAAAATTATTTAATAAAATTTTTAATAAAAAATTTAAATTAATAAATTGATAGATATCAATGAAAAGATCAATAATATATAAAAAAATTAAAAATACGTTTATAATATAAATTCGATCATACTTAGTTAACAATAAAAATTAATACAAAATTTTCATTAAAATGCTTGTCTAAAAATATATCAAATTTTATTTTAAAATTTTTACATTTTATAACTCTTAATGTAATAGGATTTTTCTTTTAATCCATCGTTTATTATTTTTTATTTTAATTTTTATTTAATCATTTTAATAAAAAAATTTACAAATTTCACTTAAAATTTTTAAATTAGAGTTTTGGTTTTCCCAAGTGGATGGGATATTAGATTAGATTTGATTCTCCATTCATGGAAGTTTGAGCTTGTAAAGTGACACTGCAACAACCCGAAAGGAAATTAAAAGGACAGAGGAAAATGGAAAGAAAAGAAAAATAAAAGGAAAAAGAGAAAAGAGAGCTCGCAAAGGACAACACCCGAAAGATGGTGTATGCATGGACCTGACAAGGTGTACGTGTATTTTTAAAGCCAAGCAGCTAAAGTTGCAACTTCACAAGCAAAATACTAATGCAGACAAGAAGCCAAGTCCATATCAGCATAAAATCCCATTGGAATATTGCCAATTTTTCTGCTTTACTTTTGCTTTCGCTTTCTCCTACTTAAATTAGAATTGATTTTATTGATAAAAATAAAATACTTTTATTTGTAAAATTTGAATTTTATTTTTATTATTAATAATTTCTCTTAATGCACAATCTATAAATTTACTATAAATTTTAACCTAGACTTTTATTAGAGTATCCTCCCCTCATTTTAATTTTTTTTATTAAAAAAAAAAACTTAAAATGCACAAATTTGAGATGAATAATCTTTTTACCATGGATGGATACAAGTATGAGTCAAAATTAGAAAATATTCAAAGGTAATAAATGACCAAAAACAAGAAAAACCCTGTGATTTGAGATCAGATAAATTTTAGTCTCTCAAATTTAAAAACCGATATTTCATAATTTTATATTAACACTTACTGATTCAAATGATAATGAATTCGATTTTTTTTAAGTAATATTTTAATTTTAAATTTTATAAATATAAAAAATAAACATTAAAAAAAATTATTTTTTTCATGAGATCCGATTCGATTTTAAAATAATTTAAATTTAAAATAATTAACTAACACCAAAAAATTAACAAAAAAAAAAACTTCATCATTCTATGATTTCATTTTCTAATTTTGAAGATTATGTTGGCCTCAGTCAACTTTTTTTTTTTTTTCACTTTATGTCCGGCATGGGACCACCAACAATAGTGTTGTCGCTTCATCTGGAAAATGAAAACAAAAAATTAAATAAGGCAGACAGGTGAGAAAAGAGATGAAAATACAAGAGCAGCAGGACCTCGAAGGGTCCCCGAAATTTCGAAACCAAAGAGAGTTATGGTATCTGAGGCACCCCCAATCGATCAGAGGTGTCAGGTTAGAAGAAGTGGTGAAAGGAATAAATTTAATATGAGAGAGAGAAGATCAGTCCTTTCAGTATGAGTATAAAAAGGTTTACTTTCCTTTTTAACCCCAACGCTCCTCCCTCACTAAATGATTCGGTTATAGCGGAATTAATTACGAATTAAGCAAACAACCTCCTATATTTAGTTTAGCTGTTAGTTACCTGCCATTCAAATCCTTTTTAATCATTAGCTACCAATATGGGGACAGCAATATATAACACTTATTTCGTATTTATATCTTATATATTTATATATATGAAAAAAATTTTTACTTATTTATATGTATTAAAAAATTTTCAACTTCTTTGATGTGTCCACCAAATGAAATTTCAAAATGATGAACTCCATTTGATTTATCATTTGTATTAGGCTTTTTTGTTATTTTATTTGATGAATTTTTATAATGATGTACTATTAATGTATAAATATTATATATTATTAATTAATCACATAATAATATTTCATAAACTAATTAATTTTAAAACTAATTTTAAATTCGTGCAAAGCACTAACAAAGGTTTTATATTTATATAAATACTTCGTAAACTAAAAATAAAATAAAATTATGTATTTGAGAAAAAAATGATATTTTAACTTTGAGCGTTTAATAGGGTATACTGTTCAATAAAAAATATCTTTTCTTGTACTGAAAGATAAATATAAATATAATAAATATTGAAAGATAAATATTATTTGCATTGATTTTAAAGTGACAATATATATCATTTACATTTTATTCTTTAAAATTTGAATTTTAAAAATAAATTACCATATATTTTGCATTAACGTTGCCCATTAATGGAGGATATTTAATATTGAAATTAGAATTGGATGATATGAATTGAAATTCAAAATCTCACTCTTATCAAAATAATAATAATTGGAGTTTAGTCTAGAATTTATATTAATGTCTTCTATGAGATATGGAAAGAAAAATAATCTTTTATTTGTTCATATATATATATATATAAATCAATAAAAAAAATGTAAAAAGTAAGTCAATTAAAAGTATAAAAAATAAATATAATTTATTACTGAAATTTTTTAAAATTTAAATCAAAATAATTAAATGCAGTTTATTCAAAGCTATTATAATTTGATTGACCTTTATTAATTAAGGAAATCATTTTTTTACCAATAATTAAGGAAATCATTGAATACCTTAATTTTATACATGGCTTAATACCATGAGATCAACATGAATACTGCAGTTTGAGTTTTAAAACTGAAAAAAAAAAAAAAAAAAAACTTATTAATACATTTGAAAATGTACCTTTTTACCTTGCATTACTTTCTTTCATGTCCATATAAGTTCCATTAAAAATCAAATTTACTTGTTAAAGCATAAAAGTGAACAAATATGAGTGTCACCTAAATATGGATTTAATTAATTTTCTTGGGCACAATTAGAGTTGGCATTAGGTTGGGTTCGAGTTGGGTTTTGCTCGATCTGAATCCGACCCGATTTTATGTGTTATTAAACTCAAATCTGATTTTACTCGAATTTTTTTTTGTTTTTTCATATTCGAATCTGATCCCAATCCGATACTATATAAACAGTATCTGATCTGATCAGACTCGAAATTAATAAAATATTTTTATTTTTTAAATATAAATATTTAAAAATATTATTATATAAATATATATAAAATAAAAAAATTAAATAATTAATTAAAAAAAATTTTATATAATATCGGATCAAGTTTGCCTAAAACTTGAATCCGATCTGACTCCGATTGTTTGCTAACATTATTCGACCCAACCCGGACTGAAACTTAAATTTCAAAAAACAAAAAAAAAATCAATCTCATAAGATTGGGTCGGATCAAAATCCGTTGAGAACGGATTAAATTACCGACCCTAAGCACAATAATGGCTTTACTACCACGAAAGCAAACAAAATTAAAATGAGGCATCAGTTAGAGTTTACAGAAAATCAAATTCAACAATCAACAACCTTCTCATCCTTTAACTTTCATAATATCTTACAACTTTTTAATACCAACCACTTTTATATCTTTGTCAAAGTAATCTGTATATAAAATCAATTGTCTAAAGATTTTAACATAAAATGCAATAAAGGGGACTCATAAAGGTAATACATAAATTGAATTGATATTGTGCCCAAACAGCAGGTAATTCAACTTGGCTCCAAAAGAATATAATCATATATATATATATATATATATATATGCAAATGACCACAAAATCAGAATTTTTTTTAAGTTAGTAATTGTACTCCATGTGAAAAATAATATCATAAAAAAATTAAAAAAATATTTCAAATAAAAAAGCATTTGAATCGAATAAGAAAAAAGTATAAACAATTAAGCATAACATGTACTTAGATGAAAATATTTGAGTAACAAATGTGTAAAAACATCATAATGCAACTACTAAAAGAGCTACCATAAGAAATATATAAAAAAGTACATCGTACGAAAAGAACGCGTTATTACTTTTTTATGAAATCTAAAGTACTGTTATATATGGTGAGATATACTTGAGTGTTTAAAGTTTTGAATTGAAAACAATTTCAATAAATAAAATATTTTAATTGCTTTATTCAAAAAAAAAAAAAAAGGTTAATTGCTAGCTAATACTTGCTTATTTAGTAGCCGTTTGAATGTGGGATTAAGTTTATTGTATTTTTAATTGAATTTAAATATTAATTTCAATTAAATTAAATTAATATAAATTTTTTGTTAAATTTTTTTTAATTATAATTACAATAATTTTTTTAAAATTATAATTACAATAAATATTATAATTATTTTTAATTTTATCATAATTAATCTTACCGTTTATCTAGAGGTTTAGAAGTGTTGCAACTAAAACTTTTTGCATACATCATTAGCAGCTTAGCCTACAATTAAGGAATTATGTAAAGGCAATCAATATTTTCTACATATCGGCAAACATCAATAAAGTTTTACCGAATATGTATAATTGCAATTGATATTTTTCAGTTTTCATATATTGAACAAATCAAGTAGTCAATTATATATGCTTTAATTTTTACCAAAAAAGTATGGATTAATTATAAGTAATTTTAAATTAAGAGTAATTTATATTCGACTGATACCAAGAGGTAATAGTAAAAAGTTGCCTTGAATGTTATTTTTTTAATTAATAAATGTTTATTCATCAAATTGTGTTCTTTCCTTGTGTATTAAAAAATGCTACTAGAGTCTTCTGAAAACTGTATCTCTCTGGGGATTTAGTTAGTCATGTTTGGAATGCAAGTGAGTTTGTCTCAAGATTTGTTTAGGTAGGTGGTCTTTAAGAATCAGCTGCGACAGAATAGTTGAAGTAGAGTAGGGAAGATGGAGGAAGAACTAGAGGATCTATGAAAACAGTTACAGTTAACAGAAGAGGAAAAAGAAGGGGTTGAAGCAAACACATTGGAGGCAGGGAACGAGGGTGATAGAAAAAAGGCATGGCTGATAGGGAAACTGTTAACAAACCGGTCCTTTAACAAAGAGGCGATGAAGAATACGCTCAAACTAATCTGGTGGTTGGCAAAATAGGTTGAAATCATAGATTTGGAAGACAACCTTTTTCTGTTTAAGTTCTCTATTGTATCATATATGAGGAGAGTGATAGATGGGTCACCTTGGAGCTTTGACAAACAGTTGATCTTGTTCAATGAATATCATGGGGGATTGAGACCTAAAGATTATGTTTCTTAAACGCACTTTTTTGGATAAGGGTGTATGGTCTACTTTTAGGTATGATGAATCAAGTGAATGCAACACGGATTGGAAGAAAAATTGGAATCCTAAAATCGATCGATGCAACACTAGAACATGGAGGGTGGGTACATTTCCTGAGAATCATAATGGAAGTAGACATAATGAAACCGCTGTGTGCTGTTCTTTTTACTACAGGCACCGGAGGGAAAAAAATATAAAGCAGATTATGTTATGAAAGGTACCTAGTTTTTGATATGCTTGTGGAAAGTTAGGACATATAGTGGTTTAATGCAAATTAGGAAAGGAAAGGAGGTTTAAGCTACGACAGCAAGGTAGTATAGGGTATGGCTTCATGCTTCACCGCTAAAAAATGAACCTTCTGTATGAGAAAAGGGGAATGCAGAGTAAAGTTTATGGAAAAGGTAAAGAGGCCAACCACGATAACAGCCCCTCCACGACGGCGGCCAGCGAACGTGTAGCGCGGAAACTGAATGTGGCAACCATTCAGGGAAATTTTGAAATGCATGAAAATCGGGATATGGCCAATCAGAATGCCGTGTTTTTAGGGATAGAAGAGAGAATATTGTGGGAAGGAAAATCCCATAATTTCAGTACGAAAAGGCGGGGGTTGAACTAATGTTGAGGTTAACCAGGGAATATCAAATAAGCATGGGGTCGGTGGACCAAGGCCTAGCAAAGATGGAAATAATGGTAAGGATGGACCTAAAAATAATAGCCCAAACAGGAACCCAAGTACACAGGCCGATCATACAGAAGGGTCTATGATGTCCTGCTGGAACAGATACAACCAAATAATGGAAGCATGAAAGTGACAGGTACGGAAGGGTTCATAGAAGACGTGTATGGGAAAACTGAGACAGCTAATAGGGATATGAGTTAAGGTGAGGACCAAAGGATGCAACCAAGACCAAAATGGAAAAAAATGGCAAGGGTAGCAAAGGGGACAACAGTAAATATGAACGTTGATAGAGGTAAAAGGAAACATGACAACAATGAAACAGACGACATGAAGGTAGAAGGCGTAAGGAAAAGAAGTAAATGGGATGAGGGAGATGATAAGGAGGACAAACCTGAGGATGCGACGGTGATTGGATTCTAGTCCAACCGAAAGCAATAAGATGCATAGCTTAGACCTGCCATGGGCTTGGGAACCCACGCACAGTTTGAGATCTTCCAAATATTCTGGAGAAGGAAGATCCTGAGGTGATCATTTTGTCTGAAACCATCCCTAATAAGGCAAAGATTGACCGAATAAGAAAACAATGCCAATTTAGTGGAATGTTTGTGGTTGATGCAATTGGGAAAAACGAAGGATTAGATATGCTCTGGAATAAGGAAATGTTAATAAACTTGTGGAGCTACTCTAAATATCATATCGATATAGGAGTTGTGGATGCCGAAGATAAAGAATGGAGGATCACTGGCTTTTATAGAGAACCATCTATTAGGGATAGGCATAATGCATAGGACATGCTTCGAAGACTAGCGCGAAACAATTATCAACATGGTCATGTATGGGGGGATTTTAATAAGATTTTATGGGCCAAAAAAGGGAAGGGGAAGGGATGGGGTGAGACCAGCAGGGCAAATGAAGGCGTTTCGAACTGTTCTGGATGAAACAGAGCTACACGACCTGGGGTTCATAGGATCTAAGTATACATGGGGAAGAGGCAAATCAGTGGAAAATAGGATCCGTGAGAGATTGAACAGAGCAGTCGCAAACAAAGCTTGGATGGAAGGTTCCCCAAATTTCTTGGTAAGACACCTAGTGTCATGAGCTAATTTTGTACATGGCTATGACCGGGCTTAAGTTGTCATGAGCCACCCATGTATAGAGCTATGATTGGATAGAGTTGTTAAGAGAAAGAGTAGATCTTTTGTGTTAAGAAAAATGTTCTCATTTCAAACATTGTGACGGTCAGTGATAGCATAACTCTAAAATCTCATTTGCTCTGCCTCACAGGTTAAAGTATATACTAAGCCACCCATCAAGGGCTGCCCTTCTGACCTCTACAATGGTGAGAAGTCTTGATGTACTATTCTCGATATTAATAAAATATTTTTTTTGTTCAAAAGTTTTGAGTATTGCTTCTATGTGCTTTCTTTTCTTTCGATATGAATATGTTTAATTGTGTATACTTGAGATTAACTCGTGGCTTGTTGTTGCCTGTATTAAACTATCCTTAGGTTGACTTGAGTAAAATCGTCCATTCAAGTGACACATAATCTTGAGAAAACTTAGCCCGTGAGACCTAGCCTACTCAACTTCGAACCATATCCAATTATGGTTGACACAATGGGGGCAAACAAAGTAAAGCAGAGTCCGGCGTAAAGGAGAAATAAATATTTTGAAGCTGCTTGGATTACAGAGCCCGAATGCAAAGAGATCGTGGATGCATGATGGTTTGACAGGGGGCATATAAACTTGAGGAATAAATTGCATGGAACACATGACAAACTCAGTGCATGGAGTAAAGAAAAATTTCTCGGCTTCAGGAGGAAGATTGAAATGACACAAGATAAACTCCAAGCGGTGCAACAGCATAAAGTAAATGAGGCAGGATTAATCAAAGAGATAGAGCTTAAAGCGAAATTAAATGGTATGCTAGAGTAGGAAGAAGTGTTCTGCAAACAAAAGCTAGCTGAAAAATGAAAACATTACACAATTCTTCCATGCGCAGGCGTCCCAGAGAAGAAGAGTGAATAGATCGAACGGAGTGGAGGATGAAAATGGGATATGTTAGGAAAGATAGACCAAAGTGTCAGAACAGGTAGTTAGCTACTTTAATAATCTATTCAAATCTCAAGGACCATCTAACCTATATCATATTCTGGATACAATATCTCCTTGTTTCACAATGAGATGAACAATTCTCTCCTATTAGAGTTCACAACAAAGGAGGTCTATGAAGCGGTCAAACAGATACATCCTACTAAAGCCCTGAGACCGGACGATATGCCTGCTTTATTTTATCATAAAATTTGGTAAACCGTAAGACTTGATTTTACTGATTTCTGTTTAGAAATGGGAATGGTAGATTGGATTGTATTAATGACATTCATATTGTGCTTATACCCAAAACTAGCAATCCTAGGAAAAAGAACAGTTCAGACCCATCAGCCTGTGTAATGTCCTCCATAAAATTATATCTAAAACACTTGCTAATAGGTTAAAACAAGTTTTGCCAGATTGTATTAGTGAGAACCAAAGAGCTTTTGTCCTGGGTAGGTTGATCTCCGATAATGTTCTTATTGCATATGAGTTTTTACATAATATTAAGCAGAAAAGAAGGGGTAGAGATGGGTGGGTTGCTCTTAAGCTAGATATAAGCAAAGCCTATGATCGAGTGAAATGGTAGTGCCTCAATGCTATAATAGGGAAATTAGGGTTCAATGATAGATGGAGATCACTTATTATAAGCTGTATCTCATATGTTACTTATAAGGAGGTTATTAATGGTAATGTGACTGACACAATATTTCTAGAGAGAGGCCTCCAACAAGAGAACCTACTTTCCCCTTATTTGTTCTCAATATGTATAGAAGGATTGTCAGCACTATTATCCAGACACCAACGGGATGGCTTACTTCAAGGTGTGTGAGCAAGTGTTCAAGGCCCAAGAATCACTCACTTACTTTTTATAGATGATAGTTTGCTTTTTTTCAAGACAAAACAATATGAATGCAAATATGTGAAGGACTTGTTGAAATTATATGAGAAAGGTTCTGGCCAGCAGATCAACTACGACAAATCAGGGCTATTTTTCAGTACAAATATTAACGATGATGTTTCAGAGATGACAAAGAACTTTTATTGTGTGCAAACCACATCACACCAGGAGAAATATTTAGGGCTCCCAATGTTTATAGGGAGAAGGAAAAGAGGGCCTTAAAAGGAATTCTGGAGAAAATGGACAAAAGGATAAAACAATAGTCGCAGATTGTTATCATGTAGGGGGAAAGAAGTGTTTATTAAAGTGGTGCTACAATGGATGTCCTCGTATGCAATGTCATGCTTTTTGTTTCCGAAAGGATTATGCCACGAGTTCAATATGGTCATAAGTAGATATTGGTGGCGGCACTCTATGGGAAAGGATGGGATTCACTAGATGGCATGGAAAAAAGTGTGCATGAGGAAGGGAGAAGGAGGCATGGGCTTTAGAGATATGGAACTGTTTAATAAAACACTTATTGCAAAACAAGGGTGCCGCCTTCACTAGTTCATAGAGTTCTAAAGGCTAAGTACTTCCCTAACACCAACTTCCTTTAAACAGATCTAGGGAGATCACCGTCCTATACTTGGAGGAGCATCTAGAAGGGGGTATTTGTCCTAAAGCTAGACATGAGATGGCGTGTGGGTAATGGAGAAAGCATTAGGGTTTTGTAGGACAAATGGATACCGAAAGAAAGGTGTTTTAGTCCAATAACTTGAACCAACTACTCAATAGCAGACGAAATGGTAAGATACTTGTTTGGGGTGAATAGGATGCCATGGGATGATGAAAAGCTGGA